TGGAGGCCAAATTACTACACTAGGCCTCCATTTTATCTAATGTATAATACAGGGGTGGACCAGGTCCTTAAGATCCCTTTCAAGATTAACATTACACAACTTCATAAGATGCCACCTTCCTTAGTGCCCAGTATCCTTCTGCCTTCTATAACAACCTACTCAGCAAAAAAAAGAAGCGAGACTCAAGCATAAACAACTGGTGCCTTAATGGGGACAACAAAGAAGCAAAGTTCTAAGTCCCAACCTCTGAGCAATAGATTGCCTCAGAGTTACTGAAAATGGATCCTTATCTAGTCATGTACTGTCAGCAGATAGAGCTCTAGGCCTGAAGTCAGGAAGACTCATCTTCCTGAGTTCCAATCTGGCCTCGGACACTTTTGAGTTGTGTGACCCTGGACAAGTCACTGAACCCTGTTTGCCTCAGTTTCCTCATCTGTAAAATGAGCTGGAGAAGGAAATTCCAGTATCTCTGCCAAGAAAACCCCAAATGAGGTCAGAAAGAATTGGACAGGACTAAAATGACTGAATAACAACACTATCTCAAAGGCTATTAATAATAATGCAACTCCTACCACGTGGTTAGTCTGTGAAATATTTTGACATTAAAAAAGTCAGAAGGTCATCCAGGGAAAAGGAATCTGAAGATTATTTTCCATTTGAAAGTTTGGAAACTTATGCCCAAGATAAAAGAATGGAGTTTCTACTGTAGAATTCAAGGGATGGGATTAGAAGAGGGGAGTGTACCCCTTTATGTGACAATGCCCACCATTTTCTGTCATTAACCATGTCTATATAAACACAGCCTAGATCCTATAGATTTAGTTCCAGCTGATCTTTGTCTTTAAAAAACTGGGAGAGGGGGAAATATTTAATTAAAATAAGTAGGGGGGGAGGGGCAAGGATTTGTAATGGTGGTACCTATACAAAATATGATTGAAGTGATTGATTACATTTGACAGTAGCTGATGGAAAGAGGTGCCTAATGTTTTTTTCACCTTGTACATGATTCTCATTTACCAAGTTTAGTTTCTTTAGGTTTTGCCCACTCAGAGTTTCCTCCTACAGATTTTTTTCCCCCTTTGCATTTAATGACCTGAGAAAAGCTGCCTCAAGATTCTGGCAGGTAAAAAAAAGAAAGACAAAACCAGAAAGGTGATTTTTCAATGCTTAAAACTTTTCCTTATGCAATCATCTATCACCATGGCATAATTTTCAAACTTCAAAATTTCACTGAATGTAATGGAAACCAAAACCTCAGTAACTGTTCCATGTATTAAGGAGATCTGCATCTCCTAATTCATCTAGAACTTTTCCATTCTGTTGAGAAATATGTATATATTAGAGTCAGCCTGACTTAATCAAGTGTTGGGCTTACCAAGACTTGAGTTCAAATCCTGCCTCTAACAAGAGCTAAAATGACCCAGTGAAAGCATGTCACTTAACTTTTCTGGGCCTCAGGCAACTCCCTAGGACTTATTTACTAAGATCTGCATGGGCTAAGGCAGCCCCAAGCACCTGGAACTCACTAAGCTAACCAAATCACAGTCCCTTCCTGTATTTGCATATATGCATCATCCTATAATGTTGATGAGTAAAATGGAAAATCATTTCTTCCTGGCAGTAATAGGCTGTAACATTCTCAGGAAACTAATGATCTGGATTCTCATCTTATAGGAAGGAGAGTATATTGGCAAATTAAAATATCTAGAAATAGGATCTATTTCTTTCGCTGTTTTCAAAATAGAAATTCTGATTGTTATTTGCTGACTGAAAGTGTGTTATGGGAGCCAGTCATTTGATCCAGCACATAGCCCAACACAGGCTGGCCCTTTGTAAGCACCTTCCATAGTCAGCCCTCACAGGGTAAGAGGGGTAAAGTGGAAAGAGCCCTGAATTTGGAGTTACAGCACTTGGGTTCATGTCCCAGTACTGGTAATTGTTAGCAGTATGATTTTGGGTAAGGCTCTTTATTCACCTCCTTGGACCTACATTTCTACATCTGTAAAAGTAAAGGGGTTATAAGTGCTGTATTTGGAATCAGAGGACCCAGGTTCAAATCCTGGGTCTGCCATTTTCTATTCATTGACCTTGGGGATGTTAAACTCTTTGGGCCTTAGTTTCCTTATCTATAAAATGAGTGGGTTAAATTAGATGACCTCTAAGGTTCCCTCTAGCCCTAAATCTGTGACACTATGGATGGATAAGACTATTTCAGCCTCAGGATTCTACTTTAGTTTAAGGTTTGCAGTCCTTGCTGGGCAAGTGGGACAAAACTCCTTTGATGAAATTGTTACAAGCCACGGGCAGAGCAATGAGTCAGTTTCTATCGGAGAGGAGGGGGAGGGATTTGGACTAGCCCTGTCTTCTGCCAACTGCTCCTGGGACCCTGTGTTCCTTTGGAGAGTAAAAATGTGAGCCGAGCCACTAATGGGGCATGACTGCTGCTACTGCTGGACACACAGATGGTGGACCCTTATATCTGAGCAGTGCCAGGGTCGTGGGGCATCTCAATAATGTCTTTTATGATTTTTTTATTTCATGTAGTCAGTGTAAACTATAACATGACTGCGTTTCCTTGGGGTTCCTATGGAATAGGCAAATTGATAAGAATCTTAATGAGAAATGAGAGGAGCAATACCTAAGTATGGTTGGAGATTTTCCTGAAGCAAATCTCCACTTGGGTAAAAATTCACAAGCCAAAATTGTGACACTTTATTAAATATTATATGCAAATGATCCTTTTATATTTTAAAACCCTGTCCCAATTCTAGAAGAATCTGGGCCAAATGGGGAGGGATTGGGGAGAAAAAAGAGGCATTGCATATATAACTACTTCCTAAATAATCAACAGATTGTTTAGGAATCCCTCCTTTACTGTGAAAAGTACCTACCACCCACCCCTCCAACCTCAGGTGAGGTAAATTATCTACTCTCCCTGTTTTCTCACATGGGGTTCAAAACTCTCATCTCAGTTGTACTCATTAAAAAAGAAGAAAGCGTAGCATCTGAATTGCTAAAGGCCAAGGAAGAGGCTGAAAGAATGCAGGAGAGAAATCAGGTTAAATATTATTATAGGAGTGGCAGCTAGGTGGCACAATGGATAGAGCTCGGGCCTTGGAGTCAGTAGGACCCGAGTTCAAATCCGAGCTCAGACACTTGACGCTTACTAGCTGAATGACCCTGGGCAAATCACTTAACCCCAATTGCCTCATCTCCCCCCTCCCCAAAAAAATATCACTATAGGGTTTGGGGAGGGAAAAAAGAGGATGGTGGAGAGGAGCCCTAGTAGAGGATGGAGGAATTTGGAATGGCTTGGCTTCATCTCACACTTCCCCTCAGTACCCTTCACCACTATTAGAGTGCATTCCTCTCTGGTTCAGCTTGGAGCAGAAGCATAGGGATAGGAGTAGAGAGGCAGAATCAAGGTGAATGGAGGTCTGCCAAGCACTGTGCTACTCCCACTCCACCGAAGCCAGAGCCCACCCCAAACACAGCCCACCACTCCACCACCAACAGCACCTTTCCCCAAATCAAAATTCACTGCACGCTGCCCCATTCTCAAAGTGATATCACTCTGTATAAAGGAGTTCATTGACAATAGGTAATAACAGGTTAATGAGATCAGTCTCTCAGGTAGCTGTAATCAAGTGGAGCTTTCTTCAAAAAAGGAATCAACAGAAGGGGGGATTCTAATTATCAATATTTAAAGAGAAAGGAGACTAAGAAGACAAGCTGGGTGCAGACACTTTTCCAGCCCTGCCCCAATCATATCAGGCCACATCAACTTTCCTTCTCTGTCTACTGTCTGCCTAAAAGCTACGGGAGCCCTGTGGGCTTAACTCCACCATAGAAACGGCATGCCTGTAGAGCCTCATCAATATTGCTTATCTGGCCTCAGTCTACCCTTTGCCCAGCACACCCCATGTGCAAGCTCAGTCTCTGGGCAGGACCAGTGCCCTTCCCACTCGAGCCTATCATAAGGCTATCGTCCCGAGTTCTTTGCCTACATCTCTCAAGTCCAACCTACTTTCATTCTTTGCCCCTCTCCAACATTGAGCGCGTTTTGAAATGCTTTCAGAAGTGAGCAATTGAGGACTTGGGCAATCAGTGGGAGGCTAAGTCCCCCTCTCAACTTAGCAGGTAAGTTACATTCATCACAGAAGGGAAAGTGAAAGGAGTTAAGAGAGCATCCCACCTGTCTAAAACCAGGAATTAAAGAAGCCGGCACACCCAGCCATCCAACCTTTACTGTCACAGGGACTTGGAGAGATGATCTAATCCTTTCCTCAGCATCCTATTTACCTCATCAAACCCATATCATCCCCAAAAGAGCCTGGGCCATTGTTCAGTATCTTCAGAGAAAGTTCTTCCCTCTGTAAAAACCAAAAATTCCTTCCCTGACACATAGCCCAAATCCCCAGCTTCCCTAGAGTGTGACTGAACCTCACTCCCGGCAGTAATCAAGCACACATTCCAGACGGCGAGCTGGTCTGGTTCCACCCCGAGCCGAGATCAGAGACACAGAAAGAAGAGGGCTTTGCGAATCCCCCTGGCTACTGTGAGCTTAGTAGACAAAACAAGGGAGGGGAGAAGAAAAGGCCACAGAGCTTTCACACCCTCCTCCTCCGCCAATTTCCAACCTCCAGTTTGGGGAAAGTGGGAGTTCTAGCTGCTGTTCAGCTGGGAGAGAGGGGGCCACAGATACCTGCTGGCAGTTCGACAGCAGGTATTGCGGCTGCTGGGAGGCAGCTGTCCCTGAGGCTGGGGAAGGCTGACGGGGGCGGGCAACAGCTGCTGCCATTGAGAGGGACCGGGGAGCAGCTTTGGCTCCTGGGGGGGGGTGGGGGGGAGGAGCAAGGCTGCAGCGCTCCCAAAGCAGGGCACGGAACAACGGGGCGAGAAACGAGACAGCCCAGCTTGGGGTGGGCTGCTCGGGGGGTGAGAGGGCAGTGAGCATCAGGGGTAGCCTCAGGGGCGTGCACGGGTGGGGAGAAAGGTACCTCTGCCAGAAGAGGGGACAACCGGCCAAGAGCCTGCGCAGCTCGTTCTTCAGCCTCCAGAAATCCCCATCCAGGTATCTGTGCAAGGAGGAGTCGCCCAGTCCCAAGTTCCGGGCGGGCTCTGGCTCCATTGTGCTGCTTTCCTTTAGGCGGCTCGGAAGCTGTGGCAGCGCCCGCAGTCGCGGCTCGGGGCGCCTCCACTCCCGGGCTCGCTCGGCCCCTCCTCGCCACCTGCTGACAGCTTCGCGGCTGCAGCGGCCCGAGCCCCACGGCCTCAAGCTGCTCCAGATGCGCCAGCTGCAGCGGGGGAGGCGGCAGCGGCGGTGACTAGGACATCGCCGTATTGCCACCTCTCCCTGGCCCACTCTACGTCACGTGGGTGATAGGCACATTTCCCCCCTCCCTCATTTCTTGGCAGTAAGCTCTCCCATTTACCCTTGTTCTTCACCTCTCCCGACCTCTTCTTTCACATTAACCTCTCTCCTCTTCCTACCTGTTCTTGCCTCTTTTTCTCTCCCTAGTGGCCTCTCCTCCATTCTTTTCCACTTCTTACTTCGCCCCAACTCCCAGGTTCCCTGGGCCCTCCACCTATTCATAATTCCCTCCAGGTGAGGGTCTTGGGGAAGGTGCTGACCAAAACAGGTACTCAGCCACCTGGGGAAGCTGGGTACTGAGAAATGAATGAAGTCCCTGCTTTAGCTTGTGGTTGTGGTTATCAGGACTGAATGAGATATACATAAAGCTCTTTGGGAACTATATGATATGTGTCAGAGATGATGATCATGATATGGTTGCCAACTACCCTTCCCAGACCACCCTTGTTTTCAGACAAGGAAGAGTTTATGCTATCCCTAAAAGGAAAAGGATGTGTCCCACTCTCAACAGAATCTCAAGTAAGCTTTGCCTCCCTCCACTGAAATTTCTATTTCATCTGTCCACAATTCTCAATGCAACCTGAGACCACAGAAGAAAAAGGGTGGCAGGTAGCAGGGCTGAGAGTGAAGTCCTTAAAATAAGCTTTGATGGCCCCAGGCTGAACTTGAGCACCCACAGTTTAGAGTTTTAGGGAAAGAAGATGAGAGAGGAAGAGGAAAGGGAAGATTGAGCCATTGTGGCTAACATTGTGTATTTTATCCTGGATGTGATAATCACTGGAGTTTCCTGAGTTGAAGGGAAAGGGGGAGGGTATGAGTGATATGTGTGCTGGTTTTTTTGTTTTTTTTTTTTTAACTATTCAGGACTCAGAAAATTCAGTTGGTATGAAGGATGGGACATTCATTTTGTTTGTGATAAGTTCCTATTAAAGCAGAAGAAAGATAAATGGAGGCAAGCAAGTATAGATAGCCCTTCTTTTCTTTACCTTCCTTCCTTCCTGGAGACTTGACCAGTACCCAAACTCTGCCTTGCCTCCAAGGCAGGCCTAAAACTGATCTACATATCTGATCATGAGGAGAACAGGGCTGCCTACTTCTTTCTCCCTCATACAACTCACTGACTCTAACTCAGACTCGGCCTTCTTTTAAAGAACTAGCTGGTACCCCTGAAAGCTTCTCCAGCAGAATTTAGCTCTACCTTAATCAGGCATTCCTAGTTGGTGGAGAGAATTTAGAGAAATTTGGAAAGAGATCAAGGGTGTGCCAAGCTAGGAAAGGTACAAGACTTAGATTACAGTTAATAACTCAAAATGGATTTATTAGATTCTTCTTTACCCAATAAGGAAAGTCAGATAGGTCTAAGATGTTGGTATCCTGACTCCCAGTCTGATGTTATCATCACAGAACTTTGCTTTTCTTCTAGATTTAAAAGTAAATTTAATTTCCTTTTTCTTTTTGGTTCGGGTTTTGTTCCCTTAACTTGCATATGATGTACACACACTGTTCGTCTTCAAGGTGGTATCCCAGATTGTGTGGGGGTGTGTTGGAAAAGACCAGCACTGTTTTCATGTTCAACATAACAAAAATTCTCTTATTTGGAACAGACTTGTAGAGGCTGGCCTGCTCTGCCCTTCTGCTTCTTAGACTTATCATTTCCTCAGTGTTTGTTGAAAACAGCTTGACTGTGGCTGCTGCTCACAGGCTGATCTGTCTGCCACTCCTGTTAGCTAGCAGTTCCTAGCTACGAAGTGTTTCATCTAATTTAAAGAGTTAAACCAATCCCCTCACTTCTAATCCTATACCCCATCTCCTGAGTACCCTGCCAGTGCTCCATCCATATCTCACTGCAGGAGTTCACTCCCTCCTCACCTTTGTGTTTTCAAATCCTTCAGGCCTCAGCTCAGGTGTATCTTCTAGAAGAATCCTTTACTGATGCCCTAAATTGTAGCATTCTCTCTTGCCTTCTCAAATGATCACTTTTTTATCATCTGTTTATATGTTGCATCCTCTACCTCTAGGAGAATGTAAGCTCCTTGAAGGCACTGAGCTAATCACTAGGGATACAAAGAAAGGCAAAAAACAGGCCTTGCCCCCAAGGAGCTCACAGTCTTAAGGGGAGACAATATAAAACAAATATGTCCAAACAAGTTACATAAGAGGGATAGGGAAACGTATCCGGTAGAAGGTGAGATTTTAGTTGGGACCTGAAGGTAGCCAAGAAGCAGAGGTGAGAAGGGACAGCATTCCAGGCATAGGGGACTAACCAGAGAAAATTCTTGGAACTGGGAGTCTTTTTCATGGAATAGCAAAGAGGCCAATATCACTCCATCAAAGAGTACTGGAGGCGGGGCAGTGCCAGGAGGTGCAAGGTGAAAGAAGACTGGAAAAGTGGGGGGGGGGTAGGTTATGAAGGGCTTCAGATGCTAAAAAGAGCATTTTGTATTTTATCCTGGAGGTGATAATCACTGGAGTCTCCTGAGTTGAAGGGAAAGGGGGAAGGTGTGAGTGATATGGTCAGACCTGTACTTTAGGAAGATCACGTTGACAGCTGGGAGAGCTTAGAATGGACTGGAGTGGGGAAAGACTTGTGGCAGGTAGACAAACCAGAAGTCTTTGGTAACGGTTCAAGAGTGAGGTGATGAGGGCCTATACTAGGTTGATCAGAGGAGAGTGGGTGGGGGTATATGTGAACAATATCATGAAGGTAATGTAACCTAAGTCCCAAAGTCCATTAGTATGGGACTCTCTCCTCATTGGCAGAGAGCAATTCCCCATACCTGGGTAAAGGGCAGGTGGGAGTTTTCAGAGCAGTAGAGAGGAGAGGTAGAGGCACTTCTGTCTCTGGTCTCAGCACACTCTGACCCGGCTCTTTTGTCTTTTGGAGCTCTGCATTTGCTATGGGTGTTTCTGACTTTCTGAGAGAAGTTAGATGATACCAACTCCATTTCAGGTTGCTAAAGGAAAAATGACTCCAGGAAGAAACCGACACAAGAGGAGCTAGCAGACTTTATCATGTCCCTATACTCAGCTTACTACACTAGAGAGAGACATTGGGGAATTTCCCCTCAGGTGATACCTGAGACACTCTGTCTCTGTCTGTTTCTCTGTCTCTGTCTCTGTCTATCTCTCTCTGTCTCTCTCTCTGTCTCTCTCTCTGTCTCTCTTTCTCTCTTTCTTTCTCTTGGTTGATCTGAGTTACTTTGCCCCCAGTGGGAGACGTCCTTTACTCTGTATTGTCTGGTATATATTCTCTTATGTATATTTTCTCTGATTTCTGTCTGGCTATCAATTTAGATAAATGGGTTTCTTTGCTATCTGTTATGTGTGTGTTCATGGTGGAACTGATATTTGGTGGGAAGAGGATCAGACCTTCACTATAGAAATTGGGATCCCTCCTTTCCCTATTAATAAAGAGTGATCAGAAGTTTAGCTCAAACTTGAAAACCACATTCCCTAGACTAACATTATTTAAGAGAACAGATATAATTCTAGCCTGCTACCCCTTCTCTCTGAAGGGAGCAGAGTCACCAAGCTTCTGACCCCAACCTCCTGATTCTCCTTCTGGCAAAAATTAAAGTCTCCCTTGGAGAAGAGTAGAAGGAGAAGGGGTTAGAGATCTCCATTCTGCCTCCCTTAGAACCACGTACATGATGCCCCACTGGGGTAATAGCAACAGATTGGATATGGGGGGGGGGAGAGAGAGGGGAACTAATGATGATGTCTAAGTTGCTTGGGTACTGGAAGGATAGTGGTATCCTCAACAGTAACAGGAAGATTTGGAAGGGAAGAGGGTTTAGGGGGGAAATAGTGAGTTCCATTTTGGACATGTTTAATTTAAGATGTCTACTGAACATCCAGTTCAAGATATCTGAAAGACAGTTGGAGATGTAAGACTGAAGTTTAGAAGAGAGGTTAGGACTGGATAAGGAAATCTGACCATAGAGTACAATGCCTGGGGCTTAATGCCTACTGAATTGAATTGAATTGAGTCATGCTTGAATGAAAGAATAATAATAATCAAAGCACTTTATAAATGTTATCTCATTTTTATCCTCACAATAACTTTGAGAGATAGGCACTATTACAATCCTCATTTTACAGATGAGGAAACTGAGGCAGCCAGAAGTTACACAGCTAATATCTGAGGTAGAATTTGAACTCAGATCTTCCTGACTCCAGGCCCAGCCCTCTATCCATTGTACTACCTCAGCACCTGCTCTGTATAAGTGAATAAGCTCTTAATATGTGAAAGGCACTATGCTAAGTGCTAGGGACACAAATAGAAAAGCAAGACCATACAGATATGCACATTCTAATAAGGATGGTAACATATATAGATTTCAGCTACAAGTCAAATGGAATGGTCCCACGGTTCTTAGGGTATAGTGGCAAAGCAGGTGGTAATGAATCTTCTTTAATGTTGTTTCCACTGATAAAGTCATATCTGTTTTTGTTTTTAAACCATTTAACAGTGCCAAGGGCTCTGGTATCAGGGCTGCAGCACCTGCAGGAGCAATTGCCAGGTTGTATCTCCGCAGGGGTGCTTCCCAGGATGACAGCCACTAGTAGGTTTCTGGGTCACTGTTGATTACATCTGCTTGTCATTTAATGCCAAATATGGCCTTTCGAAGATGCTAATGAGGATTTTCAAAACAATGAATAGGAGCAGAACAACCCTGACCTCTCATAACTACTCGAGCAAAGATGAACAGAAAGCACCAAATCAAATAATGACAGAGAAATCCAAGAGCACACAGAAAGTGTATTTTTTAAGCCCAGGTCTACACAAAGAAGCCTGCAGACACCAGGGAAAGAGTACA